CTCTTCTATCCTAACATTGTTTAACACAGAACGTGGTCTTTCTTATCCTCCCATATTGTTGATTTGTTTCAAGATAATTACTTAAATTATTTCATAATCTGTTTCCCTTTCATTGTTGGAAAGACTTTTTCTGTTGTAATACTTAAAAAAAAACTTTAGACTCCAACGTAAATCGATTTACCGGTGTTTACAGTGTATTAAAAACCATTTCTAAACTTATCTTGATCTTTTAAACCATTTTATAAAGTCCCGTCTTTCTCCTGCCCCATTCTGGTTTTCCGAATCTCTTGTTTCGTTCCTCCGGAAATTCAAAACCTCATCATCATCGCTGAGATTGCGCCGAAACTTTTTCACATTTTGAATTTCAAAGATAAACATGTAAAGTCAAATGGCAGTCAAATGGTCCACAACCCTAATAGATACGGCCAAAGCAAAGAATGAAGACTCACATTCGGTATTGCTCACTTCTACCTCCTAGCCCACAAATAGCATTGAAGAAATATCGAAAATCTATTTATTTTCAATGCACTCTTTAGAGAATGTCAGTTCCAGTAAGTTAACCCCTTGTTTGTTATGATTTCTGTATTACATTAACCTATAAGAAGTAATACAAATTAAGCAAGTTAACTTATCATATTCACATTTCCACTTTTAAATGTTTTTTTTATTATTTTCTTCTGACAAGGCTGCCTCTGACAGGGTCATGCCTAATGCACTGTTCGCTGGGAGCCGCGGTTCTGTACCAATGCCAGTTGAGTTCCACCTTCTGTGATCATTCGCCCGACAACTTACTTATAGACGACAAGATGAATAAGCACCTGCCTTTCGTGTATGTTGAAAGGTGTTGAAAACACTGTGATTACACTCGGCTTTACAGATCCAGGAATATACAGTAACAGCACTGCAGTTTTAACAGCTCTATTGTACAGCCAATCAGGATTTCTGAATGGCTTAATCGGCTCTCCTTGTTAAAGCTAAGGATATATGCGTACCTTTTTACAGAGGATGCAGTGTACAGTATCTGTGTCACGTTTATTGCGTCAGTGAACATACTACAGCATGCTGAGATCAGATTCACAAACTGGTCAAGGATCGCAAGTGTGAGCAGAGAAGATTTTATCATTCATGATTGCAGAATGGGAAGATACAGGGTGAAAAATAATTGGAAACCCTTAATTTTTTAATGAAAAAGTGAACTACAGTACATATCTTGGGGGGAAGACTTGTGGAAGACAGTGAGCCCTTGTTTTAATCCTGGGTGAATCCTTTGTGAGGTCGCCACATTTCCAATCTACTATCGCCTGTGGTATCGTCAATACCACACAATGCTTCTCTACACTTGTTGCCGTTAGTATGTTTTAGTATGTGTTTAAAAAACTTGTAAATCACTACGCAAGACTAAACAAAGAACAAAATAAACGTAATTATTTTAGGACCCAGCATCTAATCTCATCTTTGTATTGTAACCTGTATTCTATTTACTGTATGCTTCCTTCGCAAAAAAAAAACTATAATATTTACAGCATGATCGTGTGTGTTATTACATAGATACACAGAGACAAATATATTGAAATATTGATTGACTGACAGATTTATCTTCTTAACTGTCCTGTACTGTCTGGGTGGTAAAAGAGAAACATTTTTTCGATTAATAAAACGTTTTAAAAAACTAAATTAGTCTTTTTCCAGAAACATCAATTAATTTGATTTACCAAAGGGCATATCGTTACAATTCTCTTCGGAGAATTACTATTGCAGGTGGAAAGAAGGTGACTGAGACGCGTGTCCACACTTGTAATTCTAGATGGGAAACTCCTTCTCACAGTACACGTAGCAAAGCCTTTCGTTCTGTAGCCTACGATAGGATATTCTCACAAATCGTGATTACAATTGTTTTATTATGAAGAATTGTAATTGTAAATAGCAGAATTAAGAGGACAAAAAGCAGGAGCACATTTTGTCGTGATACTGTACGTTTTACCTAAAAACACTTAAACGACGATTTAACAACTACGTAATAGTTACGTATACGTAATAATACAGTCGATCATGATGTACTTTATTGCGGTGTTCTTAGTAAAGTTGCTATCTCAGTCCTAATTAATTATCCCCCGTCTCCGGAAAGCTTTGCTGTCTGAACCAATACCATACAGACCTCAAACACACTTCCTCACAAGTCGAAATGTTTGGTGCTTCCTATCTTTAAATATGTAGCTAAACGCAAAGCAATAAATTATTATTCATGATTTTTTGTGTAAATTGCCGGCATTCGTCGTAAAAAGCAGATTAATCCGAGACCTCTGTTAAAATGAAGGCCAGCGAGCCTTTTACAAATAGAAAAAAAAGCCAGTATTATCTATAGAGTAGTTCTGAGTGTCGCGCTGGTCACAGTAAGAATCCGAATTCGAACGCCACTTTCACCTGTAAGAGCTGTAAACCAATTGCGAATACTTCTCTCGGTGCACTACCCCACTTAAATACAGAAGGGTCTGAAGCACTCGTTTTAACGAGACGAAAAGCAAACCGATTTTCCCCATTGAATTTCAACAAAGAAATTCAACATATAAAATGTGGGGCTTACTTCTTATTAGTAGTTTGTTAAATATATTTAGATTGCCTATATTAATGACATATATTCAAAATTACCACACAGCATATTTTAATGAAAAAGACAATTAGATTTTAAATTTAAATATTACAACACAAGACTGTGTATCAAAGCTTTTACGGTTTCAACTAAAGTGTTTCACTTAAATCTGTCTGAATCTTGTGTAGGTTAAACTTGGCTACAAAGAAACTTTTTCGGCATTTCCCCTTTTATTTCGTTTTAGAAACAATGTATTGTAGTTATGTTTGTTTACACAGTTATTAATTCGCGATACATTTGTTTTGAATTTGCAAAAACATTGAGATGGACAATGCAATTTTGTTGCGGTAGTTTTTATCCCCTTCCATCTTAAAACTTGAATTTTAAAACCAGACGATTTTTAAAATTTTGGATACAGAGTAAACCAGCGGATTAGTGTATTTACAGCGAACTTTCTGGTTTCAGATTCTATTTTTTTGTCTTGAAATGAAATCCACACACAAGACCGATGAACCGATACGCGAACTAAATGATTGTTGTAAAGATCAGTTCCACTCCGTCGAGAGCTTCACAGCCACTTCAAGAGTAACTGAATAAACTTTTCAAATCATTTGCCTTGACAAAATGTATACCTCTCGCAAAGCACCGAGACCGATCAAAAATGGTAGCTTTTTTCATGATTGTGTAGTCACACAATGAATAATTTGTTTGCGATCCAGGCCCTTTGTGTGTTGTTATTAGTAGCAGTAGTAGTAGTAAGTTGTTTTAATGATAAGACGATTATTTTTTCTCCGTCAAGAACCACCATACCGGGATGATAGTTAAATGATTTTATTACACGTCATTATGCTCGTCAGATACCGCTTGGTTGGTTAAAGAAATACCCCGCTCCTTAGTTTGCGCAGTTTCTTGGAAGTGTTAGTTACAGGATATGAGATCCTGCATAAAAGCTAAACTCGCTTCGCCTGCAAGCTCTCTAGTAACTACCGCAATACTGCAATACTTCGCCTACGTCATAAATGACAATTAACAGCTGCTCTGAGAAGATCGCCAGTCCTGATATCCAAACAGCAGGCGCGTACACAAACACTGCTGCCGTCTGCTTTCGCGTCTGCGCGTGCATGTGTGGGAGGCTACGAACAGTCAACTCCATGGATATTGGCCAGAGGTGGACGGTGACGGGCAATGGTTTTCTGAAAAGTGTACACGGCATCCTAGTCTGCATATTTTAAGGAAACAGCAGGAATTATAAAACAAATACATGAGATATCTTTGTGTTTTTTTCCACGTTAGTGGTATTAGGTTGTTTTGTTCTGCTCAGCGATTTCCCTCTTGATTATTATGTGCGTGCACATTGCAGAGTTCATCTGCTTCCGCAACAGCTGGCAACAAGCTCGCTTTGTCGTCTCTTGCTTATTGTTAATAGCCTCTCTGGAGTTGGTGACCTGTTCACGCTGTGGTTGTGTTACCTTTCGGGTCGAGTACAATCGTAAACGGTCCTTTTTTAAAAACATGTTGTGCACGCATGTTTAAAACTTCGATGACACAGGTAATCAAATCAATAAAATGTTTCATTTTTTAAGCATATTATGCAACCCAGAAAACGTAGGCCAATGCTTCTACTGTTACTGAAACAATACCGCTTCTGAAAGACTTGAACGAAACGGTTAGATCCCTGGGTTTGACCATCGAATGCACCACAGCCCTTGATAGAAATGACGTGTTGGTTGAATACAAATCTACCAGAAAACACTATTAATGACTGCTATCTATAACCCGAAGAACGAACGCAATCGATTTATTTCATACCAATACAGCTGTTCTGCTTCTGTCAAGAATTTGGTCAAAGGTTAGTGATTAATTAAGCAAGACACGAAGGCATAAAAAATATGTTCTACAATGAAATCCGTACTTTCCGTAGTTTGAAACCAGGATTCCCTCTGAATTGCTCTTTAGTGGAAAGTTCGCAGAACATTTTGTTCAGTGTATAAAAATGTTCTTGTACGTAATGAATGAATGGATTGTAGTGATTCGGAAATACTCTAAAAGCAAGCAGAGACAAATATTGATATCTAAGCTCCAATCACAATCCAATTCAACTGTAATGCCTGCTATTGATCATTTTGTGCTACGAGGATAGCAGAGAAATTTAATCAGTAAGGAGGGAAAATATGCACCACTGTATCCACTGTATAGCTTATTATTCCGCTAGAGGGCGCATGAAGCTCTCACGGATGCCGCACTTGTCTCTTGTGCTGGTCCCAGCCAGGGTTGCTATAGGAAAATGCAAATTTACCGTTAGCCACCTCTATTGGACCAGGGACGCAGTCACACCTCCGGGTAGGAGGGACGACAGATTGATATCTATAAAACCGCAGCTTGCTCCTTGCAGCACCTCAGTGAGTGTTTTGCAGTGAAAAAGAAAGCGATTCGCCCTTGGCCATACAAGAGCGCACTCCTCACTGACAGGATTTTACTACTAACAAAAATACATGTAACCCACAGAAGAAGAAACAGAAAACACCATCTATCACAAAAGCAGGAGAGACTGTGTATATGCTTCAGTCATATATGTCTGCACACGAGTTTAAGCTTGGTTTTCCTGACATCCAGAAGCAGGATTTTGGTGCGCGTCTCAGGAACAGAAGAACCAGCTCTAATTACTGTCCGCCTGTTTTTCTATGAACTCAGATCAACACAGCTTTCTTGTCGTCCTGGTCCGGGCTATAAAATTGGGGCGCGCAAACCCCCGATTCTCCACTTTCAGCAGCACCTTGACGCTTGAGCAGAAAGTTATGCAGCAGCTCAGTTTCTGACGACCGAAAAGTTGCGGAGTGCCTCGCCTCTCTTCAGCAGCGCAGAAGAAAGGACAATAGATGTACTGCGTGTTTGTTGTTTTAAACGGAGGAGAAGAAGGATAAGGGGGAAAATAATAAAAAAGTATAATTACACAAGAACTGTCGAACTGAGAGAACAGCCCCAGCACCGAAAGGTAAAGCGGGGGCAATATAGTGGCGATCCTGAATTTGGGGTTTCAAGTTTCAGTTTCTTTGCCCGTGATATTAAACCGTGCGTTTGACCTAGGAGAACTTGTCAACGGGAAGCGGAGAAAACCTGGCAGGTGTACAATTATATCCACATTTATAAGTTTATCTCGGCAAGTATAAATAGTACTCGATCTTTGGGACACACATCTTTTTAAAATAAATATCTACAAACGAACTTTAGTTTCATCCCCCGAGGCTGCTAGTGGCAGTCTCTGTCGACGGGTCACTTTGGCTAAGTCATTGGCTTTGCGGACTGGTGTTGCATGGACTGAAATGGCCTCCGACCTCGCTATGAGCGCCGAGTTGCCGAACAGCCCCCTGGCCATCGAGTATGTCAACGATTTCGACCTGATGAAATTCGAAGTGAAGAAAGAGCCCCCCGAGGCGGAAAGGTACTGCCACCGTTTGCCGCCGGGGTCTCTCTCCTCTACCCCCATCAGTACCCCCTGCTCCTCCGTGCCTTCTTCGCCCAGCTTCTGCGCGCCCAGCCCCGGGGCGCAACCAAACCAGAACCCCAACAGCAACGCGAACAGCAGCAACCAAAACCCGACAGGCAAACCCCAGCTGGAGGACCTGTACTGGATTCCCAACTACCAGCACCACCTCAATCCGGAGGCCCTGAACCTGACTCCCGAGGACGCGGTGGAAGCCCTGATAGGCAACGCGCATCACCATCACCACCACCACCAGGCCTATGAGGGGTTCCGAGGGCAGCAGTTCGGCGGGGAAGACCTGTCTGGTGCCGCCACGGGCCATCACCACCAGGTGCATCACCACCATCACCACCACGGCCACCATGTGCGGCTGGAGGACCGCTTCTCGGACGACCAGTTGGTCAGCATGACAGTACGGGAGCTGAATCGGCAGCTGCGGGGCTTCAGCAAAGAAGAGGTCATTCGCCTGAAGCAGAAGCGCAGAACCTTAAAGAACCGCGGCTACGCGCAGTCCTGCCGGTACAAGCGGGTACAGCAGCGGCACATGCTGGAGAGCGAGAAGTGCACCCTGCAGAACCAGGTGGAGCAGCTGAAGCAGGACGTGGCCAGGCTGGTCAAGGAGCGGGATCTGTACAAGGAGAAGTACGAGAAGCTCGCCAGCAGGACCTACAGTAACAGCAGCAGAGATCCCTCAGCCGCTAACCCCGGAAAAAACTCGTCGGCGGAGTTCTTCATGTGAGGGAAATTCGTTTAGTCTTATCCACCGCGTTTTATTTTTACAGCCCTCCTTAATAAACATTTTATATGTTTTGGGGTTAGTTGGATTGCTTTAAGTTTTTCCACCCACCCCTTCAAAAATTAGCTACTTTACTGTACACTTTAAAACTTACGAAAAAGTGATGTAAATATATATGTATATAATATATACATATTTTTTTCTTTCTTCGTGTTTCACAAATAACCTAAAGGAAACTACGGCTGTACTGATTTAGACGAAGTGCTCCGAACTGAAATAGTAACAACGACACAGTAATAAGAAAACGTCTAAATGCAATATATTTACAAACTGACGTCTTACAGAAATAAGAAACTGAAGCAGGACCCAAACGAAATGAAAATATAATGGTCTTAAACTTTTTTTGTTCAAGTGTCTTAATTTGTTTTGGTCTTAAAACTGAAGCTTGTAAGGCAAAACAAAATTCTCGCTCTTCTTCGTAAGACTGGACTTTATACACGTTTTAAAAAAAAAAGCAATACGTTTTAACAACACGCCTTTGTTCTGAGTTCACCTGAGGGAATGTTAACTTCGGACAGTGAGTCTTCACGAGTCTTATATACAAGACCTTTTAGTAACCCTGCATGCGGGACATGTACGGTATTTCAAAGTCCTCAATTTCTCTCTTTTCTACTAGTACACCCGGATCAGACGCATGGCCTGTATCTCTCTTCTATCTCTGTCTTTTCCTGCTTTCATAGATGTTAAACTTGCGGCGGGTTGCATCCGTGTTCAAGTAAATTCTTTAGAAATGCGAAAAGGCGACAATTTTTTTTCAAAACTTCGCTGAACTGTCAAGCGATTGAAGAGTGGGGGGATCAGCAACGAAAGAGATGAGTGTTAACGTTACATTTCGTTCTATTTTTATCGTTTTAAAAGAAAAAAAAACTGAGCCAGATTTTAGAATTATGAAAACTGTCCACATGTAAATATGTGTAGAATCCAGGTAGGATGTTCATTTATCTCTTTCTTTTTGTTTTGAGCATTTTTGTGCTTGATAATTACGACAAAAAAGTCTTAATAAAATGTTTGTATGTAACAGCATGCAAATAACATGAGATATTCTGATTTAAATGAACATGTAAAGTTTAAAAAGCCTAATGCACTATATTGAACATAATTGGGATACTATGTTAATGTTTTTTTATGGAACTGGCTATGCTGTTATTACGAATTCTAGAAAAGGTGGATATATTAACATTATCGAAAATGAAATGATGATTATAGTAATATATGTACTGCAATCCGTTTGCTGCTAATTCTCTATGCACCAACTTTATTTATTACCCCTAAAGTTCAGAATTTGACAATTCATTGGATTTTAGAATTGAGGAACAATACCAGTGTTTCTGGAAAAAAAGTTTCTAAAGTGTTCGATGTGAAATATCAGATCTATTGTAAAAATACACCGGATCCACAACCATCTGCTTCTATTGATCTCCGATGATTAAATAAAAGTAGTAAAATGTGACGAAGCTGTGAGTCTTAAAAAGGTGCTGAAAGTGCTTGTTTAAAAGGTGTTTTCCCTCTTTCTTAAAACATAAAACGAACACATTTTGAATGGAATTTGAGTGAATACATTCGATGAAACTGTTGTCAATAAAATATTTGAACAAAGTTCGATTTTCTCGTAATATTTTTTAACCCTTAATCAGCACCCGCGAACTGTATTTTATACTTTGTGTTAACTAGATTTCACAGTCACTAATCAATGTCCATTTGGTGGGATGATTATTCTCTGAGCTAAAGAGGAGATAAAACCACTATAACGGCAAAATGATAAAATCAAGCATGAGCGATAAGCTTCAGAAAAATAATGTGCTATTTCAGCTTTCTTTAAATTTAATATAATGCATGCATCCAAATATTTCTATTTCTTCACTTACATTTTATTGTATACAATGCTTACAGTTTATTATCTTTTAAAACCAGTCGTGTTAGGAATGCTGCATGTTTACATCTTCCGATTCTAAACGAGCAAAGTGAGCGAACGGGATTGATTTATTTGAGGTTACTGAATGCCCGATCATAAGATGAATAAAAATAAAATGTTCACAGTTAAAGTAAAAATAAAAACAACGGTATTAACTAAGTAGAGTACTATTAGGTTGGTGAAAGTATCATGATGTGTTTTTGCCGTTTTTCTAAAATTAATATACAGATGTATTTTCGTGGTGTAACGTTAGATATCTCTCGGGAAAAAAGTTTGAAATTGGCCAGATTAATTATATACATTTTTAGTATTAATGAGGTTTTTATTTTTGCTTTTTTTATTTTTTAGCTAATGAAAAACAACGAGACAATCAGAGGTAAGCAGATATTTTCTACTTAAGGAAGCCCAGTTTCGGTTAAACCGAACTCACAAAGCGCGCTAGATAAACTGATCCAAACGACTGCGATTTAAGTTTTATTGTGGCATTTTAAGCTCACAATAAGAAAAAATAACACAATTTTGTGTTCGCATCAACACAAGCAGAAATGCTCTCATTTCAGAAAAGAGCGTTCTAGAAAAAAAACATTTGAATACGATATTTTATCAATACACATTTTTGTTTGCATGCACAGAATACGTTTACATTAACGTAAAATATTTACGTTTGATTAAAAAAATATATATACAACAGTGGAAAAGAGTGCGAATATGTAGGGAAACCTGTGACCTGATGTGTGTGCATTGAGGACACACATTTTATTAAAATATTGCTGTAATGAGCAGCCCATATATTTCAGAAATGTACTGAAATAATTTTATCTGATTTATTTTTTTTCCATATATGACATGGAATTATTCCTCAACTGCCACTGATATTTGCTATTATTATACCTAAATACAAATGAAAGAAATATACATGGTAGGTGTGCTGAAATATATATTTTTTAAAATAAAATACAATTCTAAGAAGATAATATGGATTTATACAGATATTTCTGTTTTTTTCTCATCTATTAACAATTATGAAGACAGGCATGGAGAAGCTCATACCTACTGCTGTACACCTGAAGTCAGCGTCTAGATTTGTACAGGGTGAGAGTGGATTTTTGGTGCGGGTGAAGAGACAATTATGCAGTTTCTCAGACCTGCTCTCGTCGAGTTTATCTTAACAGAGGTGCAGAGTGATCTCTGAGGCTGACATTTTGCCTCCAGTTCTTGTCCGTGTCCAGGAAAAGGAATTTCCAGAATGATACAAAACTAGAGAATAGTGACCAACTTGTTTGTGGGTTTGTGTTTCTAACAGCTGAGTAGGCCTATACTAGAGTCGCTCTGGGCAGGAGACAGAACATGTAGTGTTGAGCACAGGTTGTGCTGCTCTGGGAGTAAATCACAGTGGATTGCTCTTATTTGAGGGTTCAGGTCTGACTCTTCCTCACGCATTCTTGTTTTTTTTTATGCTGTATGTTATTGTTGGCTCTCATTTTAAGATATCGTTTTGAGTGAATCACAGCCAATGAATGTGAAAGTTTTCGCCAGACTGATCGAATGGCTTTCTATTTCTTAAAAAAGTTTCCCCGTCTACCATTTCGCTGTATGATTTTAACTTAATAACCAAGTTTTTTTTTTATAGCATGCGTTTTTACTGCAGAGGAACAATAATGTTTCAATACACTGTATCATTTAAGATCACATATACTGTATGTGGTGGTTTTTAGGTACGTGTATCATAGAATCATGCCAGCTGTTCTTTTCTGCAATTGTTTCTCAGAAATGAAATTTCTCCTGTGCTTGCGCATGTTATTAAGTGGTGATCCTTTACTCAAAGTCAGGAATGTTTTGGATTTGAGCAATTCACACATTCCCAGTGCCTGTTTTGTCAAGCTTAGGGGTTTTGGAACATCGGGATATCCACCATTACAGTGTGTGAGCGAAACCGTTCCTGATTAGGATGGAATTAAAAAAGGCCCTTCACAAAGTATCACTGCTTAATACTCCTGTGAAGAGAAAAGCTTATGGATAGAAGGCTTGTTATGTTTTCAGATTGGTTTTGTATTTGAGGAAATTCCAGCTGAAGAAAGGGCTCAGGCAAAAAAAAATGGTGCAGAGAAAGAAAAAACGTTAATTTGTAGGACAAATACATTTGCCTTTGCATACATCACAAGACAAAGAATAAATATAACATAAGAGTAAAAGGGTTGTATTTATTTCTTACAATTAGTGCCAACAAAAAAATATAAAAGCAATAGTAGTACTGTAACATAAAGCAGTAAAAAGCCTTTAAATAATGTTACCTCTAAAAATGACAACATCTAGAATATATTAAAATAACAAAAATAATGTTTTAAAGCTTACACACTTGCATATTTAAAATTATTAACAGTGGTCAGGTTTCAGCAAAAAGAGCTCACAGCTGACTTTTCTCTATGTGTCAAATAATGATATCTCAAATTTTTAATAAATCATATGTCATATGTTTGAATAACAAGTATACATGTTCTTTGGTAAAAGCCTACAGTGACCTTGAGACGATATGCAATGCGCAGTGTAGAGTGTCCTTTTTACCCTTGGCTATAGTTTTTGTAATGTTTTCTTACTGTCAGCTACACATTTTTACAGACACAGTGGAGGCACAGTTTTTCTGCAGGCCGTAGGTAAGAGTCTGTCCTGAATAACTGTAGTGATCAAATAAAGCAGAAAACGCCTACATGATAAATTATCAATTTGTTGTTCTATTATCACTTATCAACAGAACAGAGCATTTCAGAGCACTGAAAAAGCCAGACTGGAATTAAAAACAGAGCAGGGCACCTTTCAAGGGATAACTTCAATGAAAGAGTAGGTTTCTATGCTTTGTAACACTTTGAATCATGAATTTTGAATGTACACATTCTTAAGTAATGAAAACAATTAGATGTCAGACAGCCTGGAATAGAGAGATCCTTCGTTCTGCGCCTGAAGGATGTCTTAAATTCAGTATTTTCTCTTCTGGAACTCCTAGTTTTTCCTAATGATATTGTATGAAGACTCCAAGTGTGATACTGTACTTTCTTAGTGGGAGCAGTGTATCTAGATACTTTTTTTTAAGGTTCTGTTTATCGGTCATGTTTGTTGACCTTTTTTTTCTAATAAATAAGAGATGTGTGTGCCACTTCTAAACTAATAAGAGATGCAGAGAAAGAGTGGAGGCGCTGGCCTGTTTCTATTTAAAGCTCGATCCTTTTTTGGTCATGTAGAACCACCAGTACTACTTTATTTAGCTGACACTTTTATCCAAGGTGAGTTCTATTCAGATGTTAAGGGCGTTTTTTAATTCCATCCCAATGAAAGGTAAAGTGAAATATACACAATGCACAACATCGGTCTAGTGCTTCCATAGTTCATCATAATAGCACAATTAGAGCAAAATACTGATATTGCCACAACTGTAGGATGAACAATAGAAAAGAAGTCTACAATAAGAGACTAAAAGCAGAGCCAAACCGAGCTCATTTTTGCTGAATTAAAGTGAAGAGGTGACTGTGATATAGCTGCAGAGTGGTCCAATCAGATGTTGAACAACTTTTGCTAACAAATTAGCGAGTGATAATTTTAACTCTGTCACAATGCACCACACTGTGTTTAATGTAGCTCAATTTTGTTTTATTTGCTGTTTTTTTAGTGGGAGTGGGGGAGATGAGGAGTGTGTTTTTTACAAATAGGACACCCTGTTCTGTCTTCTGGTATCACATGATACCAGAAGAGTAAAATGAAATAATGGCCCTTTGAACTTGAAAGCTGAAAAGGAGATCATTTTTGCTGTTATTAAAATGTATTGACATTTCAGCCATTATTTCTAGGTACAAAAACACATGTATTTTATAAAGGCCCCTTCTTACTGTTGTTGATTGACGGTAACCTGCACCCTAAAATTTAAAATTAAGTGTAACACTTAATCAGTACATGGAATTTTATCTAGATAAACGATTAAAGAGAATTATTGGTGGAATGAAATATGTATATTATTATTAGTTCAGGTTTTCTTTTGTTGGGATGTGGTAGTGGTGGGGGTTGGTCCAGTCACCGATAAAAGGATTATTTCTGATTTGAGTTTGTTTCAATAAGTTTCATAGTAAATGAGAGAAAATCCTAACTTAGGCTACCCCCTGAGATTGCACGCAGGTTTCGATCAGAACTGTGCCTGATCTCCCGGTGGATATCAGCACTGCGGGACAATGGACAGTCTTCCCCTCAGAAACTGCCCCCAGTGGAAGGAGTGACCAGGCTTCCACATGGGACACAGATCGGCCAAGACTCAGGGAAGCTTGTGCTTGAGGTGTCGGGGATGAGGTGAGCAAACCTGGTGTTGTTAATATTTGACAAAAAAGAAAGCCCTCTTGTGTCACTCAGCTCTGTTATTTTTGGGTCGTCGAGCTTTTATTGAAACATAATACGTATGTGTGCAAATGTTCATGCAGTCTCCACACATTTCACAGGGAATCGTACATGCCTGGGTCCAGATGAATGCAATTCCTGCCCGTTGAAACATATCTGAAAGCAATCACAAAGAGTCAGTCACTGAGCCAATCCATCCATTTATATTTCACAGAGGATCCTTCGTAGTGGTGAGCCTTATCTCAGCGCAGTTTTCCAATTGTAGTGGATATGAACAATTTAGAGTCCAGTATATAACAGCAATAGTGATTAGAAAAAAAAAAACATTAAATAATTTTGCACACTTTGGAAACCATTCATACAGGGTTGCATTCGAGGGGCTTTAAATTTGTGGCATCTACACTTGTTATTACTGTGCCTTTTAGAATTCATGAAACTATTGAAACAAATGTGTATAATGCAGAAGAAAAAATGACACACTGCAGTTAGACAGTTTTACTGCAATAACAGCAACAAAATAATAATAATGCAATAAATGTAAGGCAGCATTAGCTTTCTGTAGGTCTTCAATGCAGATTTGTGAAACAGACATCTAAGGTTTTTTATATTCACTTCAGAATTAAGCTTAACATCAAGGTCAAGATCTCCATCTTAATAGATCTAGGCCAGTGTTTCCACAGTGTGTGTATGTTTTTTTTCCGGTTATGTTTACTGTACCTCGCGTTCTTATTTACATAGCTGTAAGGCTGGTGTGGTGCGCATTTAAGGAAGTGAAATAAACATGAGTAAGCAAAGCAGCAAATTAAAATGAGCAATTTAATTACAGGCCCAAAAAAAGAAAAAAAAAGGAAGGGTTTTCTCAGTCCACAGTGAGAACAACAGAGAGGCAGTTTCCACGATAATCTAACTCAGCAAAACGTTTACCAGTACACACACTCTCCTCACACTCTCTACTTCCCCTCAGTACTGCTGATTCTGTGTAAAACAGCAGGCAGCCTGACAGCCGGCTCCTCTTGCGGCTTCTGCACCTGACACATTTTCTTGCCTCTTTTTCTTCTTCTTCTTCTTCTTCTTTTTTATGGGTTTGGTGGTCTTTGAGGTTCCCTGAAGGCCTGGGTTTGAATGAGTGTGAAAGAGCCGGTGAAGGTGGAGAGACTGGGTGTACTGGTCTGGCCAGGGACCCAGGGACAGCTAAGGGGGGGAGGGGTGTGTGCTCAGGTTAAAGCCAAGGTGCACTCGCAGCGCAGAAAGAGAGAGAGAGCGTGGCGTCTGGAGCTTTTCCTGCAGTCAGCGTCTCCGCTTCTCAGCTTACTGAATAACTGAAATTCGCAAGTGCTATAACAATGCATTCATACATGTAAATAATGATGCTGTAATAACAGCAACAAAAGGCCTGTATTGAATAATTGCTTGGTAGCATCCTGATCTTTTTTATACTTTATGCACCTGGCTCTCTTCAAAAACTTTAAATGTGCCTTTTTTTCCCCTTGTAACTTCAGAAATAAACTTGCAACTCATGTGTGTCAATTGCTGTTGACACTTGTATCTCATGGAAGTTTTTGTATGTGTAAATGGAATTCAGTTTGTTTTCCAAGACTATAGTTCTCAATGCATGTTGAAATAGATGTTTGGGAAGTTTGGGAGGGCCGATGACAACCAAGCATTTTGCTCCAGCTGTTATGACTCCATATTTAATTTTCACACACCTCTCCGACATCCTGTCCCTCCCTTGGTTAACTCCTCAATCTGCACAGGGGTCCTTGTCAAAATCTTACTATACATAAATAATAAACATCCACCGATGCATCTAATTTTTGGTTGTCATTTTTCCTCATAAACACAAATAGACTTTTCAGCTTTTCACTTGATAGCTTTTGGAAACAAATTCCACATAGACTGAATTAGACTAACACAGGTGAAAAACTTTATTGAAATGATATTGACTAAAGTGACTGACTGAAAAAAGTGCTGATGTGAACTGCATTGTTCACTCTGGGTTTGATTAGTTTCTCTTACAATCATGTGCTACTTTAGAACACAAACAAACTGAGCTGCTGTCTGCCTGAGCAGGAGAACCAGGCCAACATGCAGGAGAGACGCCTTGCATTTTCCCACCGTTTGTTCTTACTAATACCCCACTTTTTCTCAAACAAGGGCAACTCAGCATGTTATAACTCTTTTAATGAGCCAAACTGATGTAACACGCATGCTAGAGTTGACAAATATAGGGGATTTGAAGGGAATCGTGATTTGCCCGACCAATACACATCTACCAGCTTGATAAAAAACAAAAATTATTTCCATTAGGTAGGCAGAAAATTATCTTCCCCATGCTGTCCCCAATCGAAATGGATTAGTTTAAAAAATCGTAAAGAAATAGTAGAAATTCATGTTAAAGGAGGAAATGTGCACAAAGAAATACAGTAAGAAGGTCTCCTGGTAATATTAGCCAGTATTGTGTTTTCAGAAGAACTGACAGTGAGCATTAAATAGAATCCCTAAACAAAGGCGGACCACTGCAATGAAATACCCAGAGAACATAAGCCAGAGCCAGAGAAAATCTACAGCGCTGTGTTCTGCACTCAGATGCAATTTATAACGCCAGCCAGCACAGTTAAATGGGTCCTGCTGTACCTGCACCAGAGCTGTCACACATGCTGTAGCAACTGACGCTCACACTGCTGAATAGACAAATACAAACATGCTTCTGTTAGGGAAAAAGATTATTTATTTATTTTCTTTAAAAAAAGCCTAAATACACATTTTTCTATCCTTTGGAAATAAATAAGATTATATTTTAAAATATCTGCGTGAAAACGGAAACGGCTTCTCTAATTATTAGTTTAGGCATCCGCGGCGATCTGAACAAGATCCTGTAGTCTTTGCCGTGGTCCTTTCTGCTTTGTCTATTTTTTATCATCCTACATTTCCACTTTT